TCATCACATATCGCCTAATATCGCGCAATATCGCGCAATATCGCGCAATATCGCGCAATATCGCGCAATATCGCGCACCCTCGCGCAATATTGCGCAATGTCGCACGCACGCGCGCACCCTCGCGCACCCTCGCGCACCCTCGCCCCGGGCGGCGGCGGACGCGGCCGCGGATTTCTTTGTTTTCGGTGGAGACCATCTAAAGCTGTGGCGGCGCAGCCGGCGCGCCTGCGGCGCAGGCGCGCCGTGGTTTCTCAATTTTCGCGGAAACGCCCAGGTGCGGTGTCTTGATCATACGTGACAGACGTCATCGGTTTCTTTCTTCACACGAGGGCATGGAGGGGGAGAGGAAGAGCAAGGGCGAGAGGGAGCAGGGGAGACGGGTCGCTGGCATACAGGGGGGGGAGGGTGGTGGGCGGCGACCGCCGCATACCGTCCTATGGCGGCGAGTATCGCTACGCCAGGGAGGACAACGAAGGACGTCGACGTGCGGCTGCTGCTGTTCGAGTCGTTCGGTGGGTTCGGGAAGGGGGTCGGCGAGCTCCTCTGGAAGGCGGCGAACGTGCTGCAGAACAAGCTGACGCTCATGTGCAAGGTAGCCGCGAGGTGTGTAGGCAGCCAGATCCAGCTGCGCAACGCGAGCGGAACGAGCGAAGCGCCAGGACGATGTGCTCCACGCTGGTCCACGGCGCACGTCCCTTTGTAACGCTTCACACGCCGTCGCTGTGACGTGCTATGGAAGGGCTCGCGTGATCGCGAGCATCGCACAACATCGCCGTTTATCGCATTTTATCGCCAAATATCGCGCGGTATCGCGGTTGCGATATTGTGAAAAATTCCCGCTAGACTAGGGGTTTAAAATCCCTGTGACTGTGGTGGCAGCGGCGTGCCGTGTCCTCCCATCCCTCCCTTGGGTTGTCTGTTTTCTTTCTTTCTTTTACACACGATGCCGTCCTCCCATCCCTCCCTTGGGTTGTCTGTTTTCTTTCTTTCTTTTACGCACACACGAGACTCGATTCGCCCCCAAGCCAGTGCCCAACCCCAAGCTCTTGTAGCGAGCGGTACATGAAGCCTCTCTAAAAAACATGTGCATGTGCATGCAGTCGCACGGTTGAGGAACTGAAACGAAAACTGATCCACAAACTCTGTTTCCTGAAAATCGCTGATAAAGTCTCACCATCTCGAGCCACGCGCTCCCTACTGCTCCCGGATCCTCTTGGCCGCTCTCCGCTGCGTCGACTCACCGGCCGCGCCCGCCTCGCTCGCCTGCTCCCCACCGTCCACCCGGAAGGCCTCACCCGCCTCCTCGTCGATCCGCAACCTAGAGCCACAAAGACACGCTCAGCGTCAGCGATGTGTGACGCACCTCCCTCCTTCCCCCGAGTTTGCGCGCGCCGGATCTTGAAGCCCGGCCGGTGAGCGCTGCCCTCGAGCGAAGGAGTCTCCCCACCCTCGCGACGTGCCGCCCGCGCATCACGCTCGGCCTCTGCCCCGCCGCCACTTTCGCTCTCCCCATTCTCGGAGCCGCTCTCGCTGTCCGACTCAATCGCCCGCCGCTTGACCGCCCGCCTATGGTCCGCTCGGCCCGCGTGTCGCGCTGCGCAGCTCCACCCTCCGAACGCGAAAAGCGTCGCCGCGCGCCTCTGCGGCCGGCCCGAGCCCGACGCGTCGGCCGCGGTGATCGCCCTCGGCTCGGCGCGGCCGCCCCGCAGCCTCTTCGCCGACGCGCGCGACCTCCCGACAACCCACCCCGCCTCG